AAAAATCAGATCCAAGAGGGGGGTTGGGGAAGGGGGGGGCAAAACATGGGGGTCCCTCCCTGGGGAATCATATTTTGGGGAATCACATCATTTTGGGGAATCACATCATTTTGGGGAATCCACGGCAGCCGTGCCCGTCGTGCCGGATCCCGGTGGCAATTCGGAATTAAAACAAAGATTAAAAAAAAAATAAAATAAAAAAAATAAAATCCAAACCAACCCCCAAAAGCCCAAATTTGACCCCAAACCACCCGTGAAACGTGGGGTCTCCAGGGCAGGGAATTCACCCCCATTTTTTTATGTTTTATTTATTTAATCCCCGGCTCCGGCTGCTACGAGGATGTTTGCTACGAGGAAGGGGGGGTCTCGTTGTAAAAATCACCCTCCCCCCCCTTCCAGACATCCAACCGGCCTTTTTGGGGAAAAAAGGGAAAATTGAGGGTTAGGCCTGAGACGGTTTTTTTTTCCTTGACCCCAAATCCCACCTAATTCACATTATTTTGTGCCCGTTAAGGCACGATGCCGCAGCCGTGCCGGGATGCGGCTTCTCCATTTCCCTCCTCAAATTCCTCCCTTCTCTGAATATTGGGGATTATTTATATTTTTTTTAATGCTAGAAAAGGCAAATTTGGAATTGGGAGGATTTTTGGGGTTTTTTTCTGCCAGAAAAGGTGACTTTTGAATTTATTTTTTTTTAATGCTAAAAAAGAAGCGTCGTTGTCGCCGCCGAAGGATCAACCCATCGGCACCGACTCGAGGGGCTGGAGAATAAAACCCCCTGTTTGAGTGGTTTTGAATTATTTAAAAAGACTAAATTTATAAATAAGGACTTTAAATATAAATAAGGAAACCCCAATTTGGTCCTTATTTGAGCAGGGAGGGTCCTGCAAGACAGAGATTTGGCACCGAGGGTCCGGCGCGGCGGCGAAGCCGATGCTTTAACGCATCATTTCGGGCTTAAAAACACCCCCCCCAAAAAAAAATCTGCTTTAAGCTGCTCTTTTGGGGGAAAAAGAAAGAAAAATCAACCCAAAATGTGCTGATGGGGCTGGTTGGTGGGAGGCAGAGGGGCCGGCACACGGCGTATCGCCGGGAGCTTGAAATGTGATTTTAATCCCGGTCACGCTGAGCATTCAGACTAATTAACTTCAGATTTACTGGACACTCGGCCGAATTCTTAATCTTTTCAAGAATATCTGTATTATTGGCCTCTAATCCCCGGGGTTTTTTTTTCTGGTTGGTTTGTTGGTTTTTTTTTTAACAGCCACAGCCCTGGGTTTTTTTGTGGTTTTTTGTTGTTTTTTTTTTTAACAGCCACGGCCCTGGGCTACAGAAAACCGAGGAAAAAAAGCAAATTATCCCCGTCTCGGCGTAGACCCCGACCCAAAAAACCCAGCCTGGGCTGAGCCCAGAAAGAAATTTCAAGTTGAAAACAGGGGGTTTAATTATTTTATAATTCAGTGGAATAATAAAAAAATGTTTTTTTAGGCAGGAAAAGCCCTTAAAAATTTGATATGAGGGTTTATGCTCTTGAAGGGGATGCCGGGGAGAGGTGGGAGCCCCACGGTCGCTCTTGGGGGGTGATGTGGAATTTGGTTTCGCTTTTCCTCCTTTTTCTCCTTTTTCTTTCTCTTTTTCTCCTTTTTCTTTCTCTTTCCACCCTTCTCCTTTCTCTTTCCTTCCCCACCAGCCCTTCCTCGCCCGCTTTCACTTTCTTCCTTTTACTTTCTCTTTCTTCAGGAGCTCCTTTCTCTTTCTCTCCCTTCCCTTTTTCTTTTTCTTTCTCTTTTTCTTTTTACTTTCTCTTTCTTTGCTCTCTCTCCTTCTCACCTTTCTCTTTCTCTTTTGTCTTTCCCATTCGGACTCACTCAGTCTCTTCCTCCTTTTCCCTCTCTTTTCCTTCCCTGTTTTTATCCTTTTTTTTTCCCCTGCACTTTTTCCTCCCTTTCCCCTTTTCCTTTATTTTTTTGTCCCCTCTTTCCCCCTCCCTTTCTTTCCTGCCTTCACTCTCTCTCTCCCCACTCCCTTCCCAACACCCCCTCACCTTTTCCATCCCCTCTCCTTTTTTTCCATGTCCCTTCTCCTTCTGCACTTGCTCTTCTTCTTTTCCAACCCTTCTCCCTCTTTTTCATCCCTCTCCCTCTTTTCCATCCCTCTCCTTCTTTTCCACACTCTCTCCTTTTCCATCCCTTCTCCTTCCTCATCCCCTTCCCCTCTCATTCATCCTTTTAATTTTCCACTCTCTCCTCCTTTTCCATCCCCTCTCCCTTTTCTGCACCCTCTCCCCTTTTCCATCCCACTCTCCCTCTTTTCCATCCCACTCTCCCTCTTTTCCTTCCCCTCTCCTTCTTTCCCCCTCTGTCCTTGCACCCCCTCCCCAGCTGCAGCCCTTCTCCTTTTGCAGCCTCTCTCCCTCTTTTCCATCCTCCCCTTCCCCTTTTTCTCTTTTCCAGCCTCTCTCCCTCTTTTCACCTCCTTTCCCCCCCTTTCCCATCCCTTCTCCCTCTTTTCCATCTTCTCTCCCTCTTTTTCACCCCCTCTCTTTTCCCATCCCCTCTCCTTTTGGACCATTTCCTTTTTCATCCTTTCTCCCTCTTTTCCAGCCTCTCTTCTTCTTTTCCATCCTCTCCCCTTCCCCATCCCTTCTCCCTCTCCCACTTTCCTTCCCTTCGCTCTCTCCCCTCTCCTCTTCCCATCCCTTCTTCCCTCTCCTCGACCCTCTTTTCCCTCTCCCCTTCTCTCCCCGACCCTGTCCCCTTTCCTTCCTGACCTTCTCCCCTTCCCATCCCTTCCCTCTCCCCAATCCTCTCTTTTCTCTCTCCCCCTCCCTCCCCGACTTTCTTCCCTTCCCTACCTGACCCTGTCCCCTTCCCTCTCCCTGACCCTCTCTTTCTTTTCCCTCTCCCCTTCTCTCCCCCACCCCCTCCCCGACTCTCTCCCCTTCTGTCCCCTTCCCATCCCTTGCCTCTCCCCGACCCTGTCCCCTTTTATCCCCGACCTTCTTCTTTTCCCTCCCCCC